GACTCAAACTGTTTTAAAGAGGTTTTAATATGTTGTTTACTACCAACATCATTACTGGTGGCAAACCAGTAGACAGAATAAACAGAAATCTGTATCAAAACTCGTATCCCTAATAGAAACCTCAACCATTCTTTTTAAACAATTCATATCCAAAAAACTCGTGATTTCTCATATGTGTAGATGCTCTAAAAGAAGCCGCATCCCCTCTGTTGCATTGTAGCATTTTAATAGAAGATACAGCTTCTAACACAGATTGTATAGTAGTATGATAACTTCATGTCATGTCAGAATAAACAGAAATACCGATAAATCTATATTTGAACCTGTATCCCTAATAGCACCCATTCTTTTTAAACATTTCATAACCCAAAATTCACCATTTCTCATTTTGTATTGATGTCATAATAGAAACCACATTCCTTCTATTGCATTGTACAATTTTAAAAGAAAGGTAATTCAGATTTTACAGTAGTATTATTTTATTTGTAGGTACGTGAGTCTCCGCTGTACCATCTTATTAAAGCCCGAATTCAGAAACGACAGGGTGATATAGAGGATGCTGCAAGAACGTTACAGACTGCTATGACGTTACCTGGTATCAAAAAACCTGGTGAGTATCAAATGTTACAAACTCAGAATTTATTTTTGCTATTTTTTGGCATTCCTGATGGAATAAAAAACAATAATTTTCCCCAGGGCATCAGTTTTTATGGGAAACAGAATTAATTTTCAGAATAATACATGAACTTTTGGTGTTGCATGGATGCATATGCTATCAAGTTTGGATTGGTCATCAGTTATACCTCAATGCAGGTATTTCTTTTGGTCTAACATGTGTGTCCCAGGTTTACTTTTGCGATAACGTTTTAATCTTATACACTACTTGGAGAGATAAGAAAATGTTGACAAAGTCACACGATAACGCATGACTTCACAAAAAACTGCAGTGTTTCAACAGGAATGACATGAATGGTCAGACCGAAGTTTCATATTTTCCTTATGTTAGTGATTCTCGCAGACCCACAGACATTAATAAAACGGGTCCTCTAAAAATAGTATTGCCAGTCTGTTTATTAGTGGTCTGAGGTTTTACAAATCTTACCTTAAATATGCCTCATTTTATTTTTTAATCTGTCAAATGAATATTTAATAATGTAATATTATTCTACGACTTGTTTAGCTCATCCCGGTTCAGCCAAGAAAACAAAAGCTGGTCAAGTCAGTACAAATGACAGAGTGTCTGTGTTCCTGGAGTTGGCTGATGCTTACAGACAGCTTGACAGACAGGTAAAGGAAATACACCTCTACCTTAGCATCAAGAGTAAAAACAAGTTACATAATTAATCTGGTACATTCTCTCTCAAGTTGCCTGACATGTAATGCCTGATAGAATAGTGTATGTAGTAGTAGTAGTAGTAGTCCAGAGTTTTAAATCCGGTTTGGTCCCCGAAGACGAGGGTGGCCGGATTCACCTTAAACTAGTGGCAATCGTTCTTACCCCCTCCCTCCACTTTGCACGATTTAAAGCATCCCTCATCCTCATCCCAACCTTCCCACTCTCCTCCTCCACTTGCATCTTCCACGTCTTCTTTGGCCTTCCCCTTTTCCTTGGACCACTCACCTCTAAATCAAGGGCCCTTCTTAATACATGCCCATCCTTTCTCCTCAGCACATGCCCATACCAACGTACCCCATTTGCCTTCGCCAACCGATCTACCGCTTCCTTCAAACCCAACATCTGCATCAAGTCCTTAGTTTTCTTTCTGTCCATCAACTTCACCCCACACATCACTCTCACCATCGCTCTCTCCGTCCTCCTTAAAATACCCAGCTCATTTTCACTCAAACACCATGTCTCGCTCCCATACAGCAATGCTGATCTCACACAACTCTTATAAACTATTCCTTTCATCTCCAAAGGAAATGTATGTCTCGTCGGCAATATCAATACTGCAAATTCGCAAAGTTCACGCCTTCTTGCAATGAGTTTTTATGAATATTCATTTTGGTGGTCATGGTAACACCATCAATCAAAGCCATGTTTGTATTTCAACAAGACGATAAACATTCAGTGGAAATTTGCCAGCGCCTTATTACACATTATGTCAACAAACAAATAAACTCTGCCGTGAATGGTTACTCTTTGATGGCTGTCACTATCTGACGTTACTACAATTTGATTGGTACTGACAAAAATCATGGTGGGGAAGTGGGTACATCATTCTATCAGGTGTGTGTTGGGTTTGGAGCACCGCAGAGGGCACAACTCACGCGACCTTGTCAGGCCACTAAACATACTATACTATATCAACCTATACAACATCTGAATGCTTAGATATAGGTGAATATGGTAGTGCGTACGTCGTACCAATGTTTATCCAAGGGATTACCAATTGCAATACTGTGGAATACTTTATTTTCGCTGAAATTAATTTTCGCTGAAAAGGCTTTTTGGGCATTTTGCTTGGAATTTATTTTCACTGATTTTTGATGAGTTTAATGTGAAATACAGCGAAAATAGCGAAAATAAATTCCAAGCGAAAATAAAGTATTCTACAGTATAATTGTTTTTTTACTATTCTGAATGTTGAAAATACTTTTAGTCACAGAATTACACAGAATGTGGGTAACACTAGCCTAGATGATCATATCTTGTTTTTTTTCTTTATCTGCCTGATATAGTAGGCTGATGAGATAGAGTATAAAACAAGGCTATGTGTTTTTTGTTTGTTTTTTGTCTATAGAATTGATCTAAAAATGGTTATTTTTGAAAAGTATTAAAACAATTTTCTCCAAATACGGTACTGTAAAATAAAAAATAAATGCTGTTTCATGTTGCCATGGAACCATAGCTCCATGATTGTACAAAAATAAACCAAATAGGCATCGTCATGTGATTTACGACCAATTGTTAAAAAAATTATTATTATCTCAGAGAGCAACTTTATATCAAAATACATATTTCAGCCAGAAGCCGCCAAAGTGATGCAGGACGCAATAAACGAATTCACAGACACCCCAGAAGAAGTACGGATTACAATTGCGAATTCCGACCTGGCGTTACAGCGTGGAGACGTAGAATTAGCGCTTGGTATGCTGAGAAACATCACGCCAGGACAGTCCTACTATGTGGAGGCTAAGGAAAAAATGGCAGACATATATCTGAACTACAGGAAAGATAAACGATTATACGCAAGTTGTTACAGGTAATGATGTAATATACGCAAGTTGTTACAGGTAATGATGTAATATACGCAAGTTGTTACAGGTAATGATGTAATATACGCAAGTTGTTACAGGTAATGATGTAAAACAGCCATGTTTTTTTTTTTTAGTAGACGACACTTATGCTCGTAATCATTCAATATTTGGAATTCGCATTTCCTAATATGGTAGGATGAAAATACCCTGTAAAATACTGCAAAATTACGGCACATTGTGACTTATTGCGTTACAGTGACATATGTATAATAACAGAGGTACATTACTTGGGGTTTGCAGCGCACATAGTACTGTATGGTGACATCATGCCAAGATCCCATTCTAGTCTCATCTCGTAGATAGCGAGACTGATGCTACTACCTTCTGACATGACATAGGCGGTTTGTAATAAAACAATAAAACATGTATTACCACATTCAAAGTGAAAAAATGTGATACATCGAAAATGTACAGAAAATATAGTTCTCGTAACCCATGAGTCATATCGTGAGCAGCTATTTTGATCCACCTGGACATCCCAGTATCCTAGTTACTTCGGGCATGCGCATTCGCATTTTGCTGAGTTGGAACGCTTATGTGAGAGCGAGATTGTAACATGATCTTGGTATCATGTCACCGTAGTTGCAAACCCCAAGTAATGTACCTCTTATAATACATTATTATTTACAGAGAGCTTGTTGACAAACATCAAAGCGCCCACACATCTCTCTTATTGGGCGATGCATACATGAGTATACAAGAACCAGAAAAGGCCATTGAAGTGTATGAAGCAGCACTCAAGAAAAATCCTAGAGATTTCACACTGGCCAGTAAGATAGGAAGAGCTTTGGTGAAGACACACAACTATGGAAAGGTAACATTACTGGAGTTTATCAATGTTTACATAAATACTGTGGAATACTTTATTTTCGCTAGAATTAATTTTCGCTGAAAAGGCTTTTTGGACGTCTTGTATGGAATTTATTTTCACTGATTTTTGATGAGTTTAATGTGAAATATAGGGGGAAAAAGTATATTGGCTGGATTTTATTTTCACGGAATCATCCCTTCAGCGAAAATAGCAAAAGTAAATTCCAAGCGAAAATAAAGTATTCTACAGTAGTCTACATACCGTAAAACATGTCTTTTTAGCTAGCATGTTATTTTAGCTAATTTAGCTAATCTGTAATTTCGCTAATTTAAGATGTCACTAATTAGAATAGAGTATTTTCTCACAGTAAGATTATTGGCACTTTAGCTAAATTAAGATTCAGTTAATTCATGCATTGAGTCAAATTCGCTAAAATGTTATGTAGCTATTTCAAAGTTTTTTTACAGTAGTTAACATGTGTATCTAAAAGTAACTGGATAGTTGTAAGTATAGTAATATAAAACTGCAGGTATGTATTGTGGTAACAAAATTGAAGCTATCCTCGAAGGTGGAGCTACGTCACATGACGTTCCATGTTGCTAAGACGCACACCACTATGCTATGTATTTCTAAGGGCTCTGTGCGAGCTGGTGTGGAACACCGGTCGAAGGGCTGGTGTAAATAGCTAAATTCGAGAAAACTGCTCAAAATCAACTTTGAAGTAATCCTGGACAACCAAATTTATATATGTTGGGGTGATCTTGTTACATTGTTCAGGAGAATCTCAACAACCATCCCGAAGTACTGTTTTCTGAAAGTTTTCAACCTTTGTTTTCACCGTGATGATTGCCAGACGGTGAAAATGCCCGGATGGTCCGCCCCCGAGAATACAACCCAGTAATCCAGCTGTAGTTTTGTCTTACATTTACACTTACTTTGAAGTGCTATATGTATATGTGACGCCAAAAGGGGTCCCAAATTCACCAATTCTGTCTGAAAAGGGGTCCCAAATTCACCAATTCTGTCTGAAAAGCGGTATACTTTTTTCATTATTTCTGTCTGAAAAGGGGTCCATATTTTCCAAAGACTACATCTCTAGAGCTTGAGTGATCCAACAATCGGGAGAATGAAGCTGATTTTTTTTCTCTGTAACTTCATTTCAATAGTCAAAGTCCATCCCCGGGAGTCCACCGGCTTTTCCCTTGGTACCATTTATGCTTACTGTCCAGAAAGGGGTGTCAAATATCCTCAGTTTGTCTAAAAAGTTGTAGACAATTTGAGTTTATTTCTGTCTAATAAGGGGTTTCAAACAACCAGTGGCTATTCTTGGCTCCATGTGTCTAGGGTTAAGGTAGCGAGACTATTATTTGTGTTGAAAATTACGATTTTCACATTTATTTATTAATTGATGAAATGCACTATAAACTTTCATATGATAAAGTCAACATAACATAGAATGTCATGTAAGTTGGTTAAAATGTAGATTTTCTGAAGGAAAGCAAGGCAGCCTCAGTAGTGTTTTCCAAAATCAACAACGCAGGTTTAATCCGTGTGCCTATAAGTTTCAAAGATAAACTCAAGACAAAGCAATGTTAGGATGTGTTATCAGTAGCTATCTGACACACAATGAGTGTTTCCAAACATTTGAGTGGTTTGTCTCCGCCCCTGTTTGTTTCACAGATTAGTCATTTGCATATGAATGTGTCAGACACAAGGTCACACAGCCACTGAAAAAAATCATTGATTTTGGTGTTTTCATATGCCGAATTTATCCAATTATAGCTATCCCATTCCTTTATTTTTTTGGTTTCCAATAGCCTTACACATTTGGATGTCCCTACACATGTTAAAACAGACCTTGATGGGAAAACAAATTGATTGTGCCGATAAACAAGCTTGAAAATCTTTGCTGTTACTTCATGGACGTTTTCTAGGAGTTTATGTTTTTCAAAATACAAGGTCTTTAACAAAAAATAACGTATACTTATTGTCGTCGGATTAACACCAAATTTT